CGCTGACCGCGCAAAATTTTGGACTATAGAATCATGGCCCGTAGCCAAACACCGCAAGGCAGCTTGCGGCAGAGAAACGTTGGCTCCAAAAAGGCCGACTCGAGCACCTCCGCCGTTGACGTAGAGCTCGACAAGCTTGCCAAAGCCTCAATTAAGAAGAATGCGTCCAATTGCGAGCGCGATCACTGGGCTGCCTTCTCCTTGACCACCATTCTGGCTTTTGTCACCAGATTCTGGGGAATTAGTCACCCCAATGAGGTGGTGTTTGACGAAGTTCACTTTGGCAAGGTGGGTGCTTACAACGGCCGAAAGAATCATCAATCGTACTTCCTCTTTCTTTGCTGACCCATCGCAACGCAGTTCGCCTCATACTACCTCGAACGAACCTACTTCTTCGATGTGCATCCTCCCTTTGCCAAGCTTCTGTTTGCCTTCATGGGCTGGCTGGTGGGCTACGATGGCCACTTCCATTTCGAAAACATTGGTGATTCCTACATTGACAACAAAGTGCCTTATGTGGCATTCCGAGCTCTCCCTGCCATCTTGGGCGCCTTGACTGTGTCTGTTACGTATCTCATTATGTGGGAGTCGGGTTATAGCGTTCCTGCTTGCATCATTGCCGCTGGTCTGGTTCTATTTGACAACGCCCACATTGGCCAGACTCGACTGATTCTTCTTGATGCTACTTTGGTCCTCGCTATGGCATGCAGTCTGCTCTTCTACATCAAGTTTTACAAGCTTCGTCACGAACCATTCAGTCGCAAGTGGTGGAAATGGCTCATCCTGACCGGCTTTGCCCTGTCTTGCGATATGTCCACCAAGTATGTCGGTACCTTCGCCTTCGTCACCATTGGTGCCGCGGTTATCATTGATCTCTGGGATCTGCTGGACATCAAGCGCCCGGGAGGCGCCATCAGCCTTCCTCAGTTTGGAAGGCACTTTGCTGCTCGTGCTGTCGGCCTCATTATTCTTCCATTCCTGTTTTATTTGTTCTGGTTCCAGGTCCACTTTGCCGTATTGTCTCGCTCCGGCCCCGGGGATGATTTCATGTCGCCCGAATTTCAGGAAACATTGAGTGACAATGCCATGTTGGCGAATGCGGTCGATATTCAATACTACGACACCATCACGATCAAACATAAGGAGACCAAGGCGTTCCTGCACAGCCATCCCCACCAGTATCCCTTGCGTTACGACGATGGCCGTGTTTCCAGCCAGGGTCAGCAGGTTACTGGCTACCCTCACAATGATACCAACAACTATTGGCAGATTCTCCCCTCTAGCGACGACAAGCAAATGGGTCGCAAGGTCAAGAATAATGAATTGATTCGATTGAGACACGTTGGCACGGACACGGTTCTCCTGTCACACGACGTAGCTTCTCCCTACTATCCTACCAACCAAGAGTTCACCACTGTTTCTCAGGATGATGCCTACGGCAGTCGCGTCAACGACACCTTGTTTGAGATTCGGATTGAGAACGGCAAGAACGGCCAGGAGTTCAAGACGATTGCCAGCTACTTCAAACTCATTCACTTCCCCAGCAAAGTTGCCATGTGGACTCACACCAAGCCTCTGCCTGAATGGGGTTCCCACCAACAGGAAATCAACGGCAATAAGCAGATCGCCCCCAGCTCTAATATCTGGTTGGTTGAAGATATTGCGTCTCTGGCTGCCGACGATGCCCGACGAGAGAAGCCGGAGCGCAAAGTCAAGACTTTGCCGTTCCTGCGCAAGTGGTTTGAGCTTCAGCGAGCCATGTTTTACCACAACAGCAAGCTGACCAGCAGTCACCCTTACGCCAGCCATCCTTATCAGTGGCCATTCCTGTTGCGCGGCGTCAGTTTCTGGACACAGAACGACACCCGCCAGCAGATCTATTTTCTTGGTAACCCAATTGGCTGGTGGCTTGCCAGCAGCTTGTTGGCTGTCTACATTGGGATTGTTCTCGCTGATCAGATCTCTCTGCGCCGAGGCATCGATGCATTGGACCACCGTAAGTAATTTTCGTTCCTCAATGGCGCAATGGTTAGGGCGCAAGATACTAACGTGGACATCAGGTACGCGTTCCCGCTTGTACAATTCTACTGGCTTCTTCTGGGTTGCATGGGCCACCCATTACTTTCCGTTCTTTGTAATGGGCCGCCAGCTTTTCCTACACCACTATTTACCTGCTCATCTTGCCTCCTGCCTAGTCGCCGGTGCGCTCATCGAGTTTGTTTTCAGTGCAGAACCAGTTGACGAGACCAGAGGCCCCAGAAAGAGCCCCAAGAAGCACCTTACGGCGCGCGAGAGATTAGCTGGCCAGAGCATGATGGGAGCTTGGATTGCCTGTGGCGTGGTGCTGACCATTGTCATTGCTGGCTGGTGGTTCTTCCTCCCATTGACGTATGGTTACCCCGGTTTGTCCGTTGAGCAGGTTGTCCGAAGGAAGTGGCTGGGCTACGACTTGCACTTTGCGAAATAAGTGCGGATGACGGTGCATTCCAATAGGGAATTGCAGCGAAAAGGGAATCGTGTGCCTGTGCATGTGTTTGTCGGGGGGTAATGAATGTGAGTGGAAATAGTGGCTACAAAATAAATGGTGTAAGGAAAGGAATTTACTGGGTGCTGGAAGTCGGCAAAATGGTCGGTACTCGGCAGTTGTAAAATTAACAATTGATTAAAGATGTCCACGTATAATGCAACTCATCAAAGCAAATACAGTCTGCGAAGAGCCGCACATACTATGTATTGAGAAGTTGATGTGTTGTCGCATCCTTTCGTCAAGGAACCACCAGACTCCATTGACATTACTGGTTGACGCATGTCCCTACATGTACCTCAGGTACCGGGCAAGCGGGCTGGCGGCTGGGGCTGCCCACGCCGTCTGGGGGCGTTTCGTAAACGTCAAGTTCCTGGGCACCCCTGTGCGGACATCTGGACACATGCAAGCTGGACGTCTCGAGTGTAACCTAACCTCAAAGCAATCAGATCCATTATACACGCACACTTTGCCGCAACCTCCCAAACCCCATTGCCGGACCTCAACTGAGGCTTGTAGTCTCTGCGCCATGATCATTGAGGGTTCCAGCTCCTAACGTCATCAGCGAGCGGTCGGAGAGGTCATGGTGCTTCCCCAATCCACCACGCAGCTACACTGGGAGAGCAATCATGGTCCTCACCCCAGCTAACCGCCTGTACATGCGCCGCATCCTCCGCCTACGTGTTACCCGAGTAGCAGTATGCCTATTCCTGCTCTTCAACTTTATCGACGTGCTCCGTATTCATCACAATCTCAGTCACGGCGATGTGCAACGTCGCTCCAAAACCCCTGGGCCGTCGCGGCCGCACGAGCGAATCTATATTGCTAGCATGCACTTCAACAACGGTGCCATCCTGAAGAGCCACTGGAACGACGCCGTCATTGGGTTGACAGAGACGTTTGGGCCCAAGAATGTGTTTGTCAGTATATTCGAGAGCGGCAGTTGGGACGACAGCAAGGAGGTTCTGCGTGAGCTGGATCGACATCTAGAAATAAGAGGTGTTCCGCACCGCGTGGAGGTGTCTGATGTGACCCATCAGGACGAGTTGGACAGTGCGGACAAGGGCGAGGGCTGGATCGATACGCCGAGAAATAAGAAGGAGTTGCGCCGCATCCCGTACCTGTCGAGGTTGAGGAATAAGACAATCAAGGATCTGCTGCATCTTCATAAGCAGGGTGTTGAGTTTGACAAGGTGCTGTTTCTTAACGATGTGGTATTCACGGTAAGATGTGAAGATTGTGTCCCCGAGCACGTTTGGGGAATGCAGCATGACTGACTTTTCCATTGTTGCCAGGTGGAGGATGTGCTGGCATTGATGGACACGAATGGCGGTGAATATGCGGCAGCTTGCTCGCTGGATTTTGCGAAACCTCCCTTGTACTATGATACCTTTGCGCTTCGGGATATCGAGGGCCACGGACATGTGATGCAGACCTGGCCGTATTTTAAAGCGAGGACATCGAGAAACGCCCTCGTAAGCAATTTGGACGCCGTGCCTGTCACTAGCTGTTGGAATGGCATTGGTGCGTCTCAACACCTGTCTTTTCGGACCACAAGGGGGGGATCCTGCCGAGATTCATGAAATCTAACACTCCTTTGCAGTCGTTATGCCCGCCGAGCCGTTCGTCTCCTCAACCAAGCTACGCTTCCGTGGCGTCCCCGACTCCCTGGCGAATCATCACCTAGAAGGCTCCGAATGTTGCCTCATACACGCCGACAATCCTCTCTCCAGAACACTCGGCGTCTATCTCAACCCCAGAGTGAGAGTTGGCTATAATCCCGAGGCATACGTTGCTACACACCCAGCCGGATCGTGGGTATCCGCGTGGGGGATATTCATAGGGCTTTGGAAAAACAGGTTGAAACGCTGGACATCAATTACATTCGAAGGGATAGTTGTACGATCAAGGGTTAGGCATTGGGAAAAGGAAAAGAGTGGGAATCGTGAGCCCGGCGTGTTTTGTTTAATTAATGAGATGCAGGTTCTAGCCCATAATGGATGGGCGCATGTATGACAGGCTAGGGACGATCAAAATTATCAATGTCATCTTTGATGATGGGCTTCGGCAAAAAAAAAAGCGGATAAATTGTATAAAAGATCGATGAATGCGCAGATCAAGATACATATATTATTCCGTCGCTCAAGTACCAGCTGGATTCAACGCCAATCCGGAGTTTTTCCCGCTGCGAAGACGGAAAATGCAGCTCGCGGTTGCGTCTTCACCTCCCGAGTAAGTATCGATTCCTCCAAATTCAAATTTGAGTATCCATTCTTCCCCAAAACATATCCATATCCCTGTGTCCAGCTGACAGTCATGGCAACATGTCAGTTACCAATACCAAATCCGGCCCCGAGTATCCAATGACCTCCAATCCAAACCATCGCCAAGTTCACCCTTCTTCAACAACATGTTCTGGCGGTTCCTCCTCAAGCCTTGCTGCCTTCAGGTCCCATAATGACCGAAACACATGGGCTCACTCAGCAGCAGTATTGAACCAATTCTCCATGTTTTTCCAGCGGAAACTCCACATGCTATACGCAAGCTCTAATGCCGCATCACTCTTTTCGTATTGTTTCCTCTGAGTCGCATAACAGTGCACTGGAAGCAGCACAGCGCGCAAAAGCGAGGGAGTCTCGTAGAATCGGTCCTCAATCTCGTCGGCGGACTTTTCAGAAGGCAAGCACAGCTCTTTGCGGATGAATGCCAGCCTGTCCTCGCTGGAACGGACAGGAAATTGATCGGCGTTTTGATGTAGCCAGTCTTTAAGTTTGAGGCCGTTTAAGGTTATCTCCTCCTCCTCCTCCTCCTCCTCCTCCTCCTCCTCCTCCTCCTCCTCCTCCTCCTCCTCCTCCTCCTCCTCCTCCTCCTCCTCCTCCTCCTCCTCCTCCTCCTCCTCCTCCTCCTCCTCCTCCTCCTCCTCCTCCTCCTCCTCCTCCTCCTCCTCCTCCTCCTCCTCCTCCTCCTCCTCCTCCTCCTCCTCCTCCTCCTTTTTCTTCTTCTTCTTCTTCTTCTTCTTCTTCTTCTTCTTCTTCTTCTTCTTCTTCTTCTTCTTCTTCTTCTTCTTCTTCTTCTTCTTCTTCTTCTTCTTCTTCTTCTTCTTCTTCTTCTTCTTCTTCTTCTTCTTCTTCTTCTAATTCTAATTATAAATTATACACCACAGATGTTCGCGTACAACAGGATTAACCGGGGATCGAAGGTATTGTCTGACTACTTCGCCTCCTTCTTTATTTGCGTTGTCGTCAATCTCTTTTTCAGTTGCGTCGAGATCCACCCCTCCTCTGGCTGCTTCGTCGTCGATTTCTTCTTCGGTGATGTTTGGTCCCCAAGGCTCCTCCGTGGGCTCTTGAGCGTTTTGGAAAGCCATGTTTCGTCAAGGAGGTGGTTGATTGCTCTGGGTTGCTGGGAATGACTGCGAGGCATCATGGGCATTACATATGTTTTTCATGAAACTGAACAATCAATCTTCACTAGTGATATGGATTTTCATGGCTCCTCTGGACGAACGTGTTCGAGGGTTGTGTAGACGATGATATGTGGTGGCTTGTCATGGCTGTGGCCTTGTTCATGACGATTCATTTCAAGAACGGAGTCCTAGCTTGCTTCATTGGTGGGTTTCCTGCATGAAAACCCTGAATTTTGTCAAGGTTCATAATAATAATCAGCTCATAAGCTCATTGATAGTCATGTGGTCGCGCAAAACGCCAGGACTTGCGGCACCGATGAATTCAAAGTAAAAAACTACAGCAGAACACCAACGCACTGCATTTCACACATATACATCACTGGCAGATGACGTCTCACTGCCTGCATCCCTACACCTTCTCGGCGACGTACACATAAAGAACATAACTAACCTTCACCTTCCCATTGCCCTCCCTCTCCGCCGCTGAATCCCACTCCCTCTCGAACAATAACCTTGCTTTGCTCCTAAACTGTTCATCGGCCAGGCACTCCATCAAATGGTCCTGTGTAATGTAATCGAACATGCTGCCAATCTCATCCCTTCCAAGAAAAACATGTCCCTTGCCGGCTTCTTTATCCAGCGCCTCAACCCGAAAGGCGTGCAGATGTCGTGCCTCGAGGATCCCACGAAACGAGTCGACCGATTCGATCCACGACCGGCTCGCAGGGTACGTCATGCCCATCTGCTGAATGGCTTTTTTCATAAAGAGTCCCTGCCGGGGGTGATTCTCATGGGGAATGTCAACAATGAGTCGGCCCCCGCGACGTAGATACCCAGCCCATTGGGAAACGACACGGCCGGGCTCGTCGAATAATACAAACGCATTGGAGCAAATGATAACATCATACGAGCCCTTTCCGAGATGCTCGCAGGACTCAAGATCCGTGACATCATGCTGGATGAGAACCAGGCGGCGGGATAAAATCTCATCGGTCGCCTGCTTCTTGCGACACACGTCCATCATTGCTGTGGATGCGTCCAAGGCTGTCACCAGGCCATTGTCGCCGACTAGCGGGCACGCAATGACAGCTTCGAGGCCGGTGCCGCAGGCGAGGACTAACACACGGTCGCCGGGCTGAATGTCAATGAGCTCCATGAACCGGGCCGTGTATTGTGGGTGCCATGAGCTGTCGTAGTCTTTTGCGCGGGTTTGATAAGACTTTTGGGCTTGTTCAAACTGTGAGAAGTGTCTGGGCGTCATTGTTGGTCTGCGCTTTGTTTGGAGCAAGGCAACGGGCGCCCATGCAAGTCATTGCTGTGAGCTCGGGGTGGTTCTACAAAATACTTGGGTAGTTACAACGGCGTCCAAGAGGTATTCAGGCACTGTTTAGTCTGCCATGAAGTGCCAGTGACTCGTATGGCGACGGCATTGGCGTGGGCTTCGGATCGGTTCTGCATATACGCTTTGTCCGTCCGACATGCAGGGCCGTCTGAGAATCGTAGAGTAGAGTGCTGGACACAATCACCACAGAATCTTGGCAGTTACTTGCTATGTAGAATAGAGCCCGGTGTAGCCCATGCCCTTGCCCAGCGAAGGGATTCAACACTTAACGAAGCACAGGGGAAGCATAGAGCTGGCAGTCCAGTAAGAATATCACTGCCTTGACTCTAGCGGCTCAGGCATCACCTCCTCACCCCGGAGCCTGAGGAAACCGGATCGTGTTAGGAGGCTATCGATCGCAGAGCCACTCTTGGCCGCTGTCTCGTGACGCAATGCCCTGTATGCAAGGCAGCGGAATAAAACATACACGGCCCCAGCAGTGAGTGGCTGGTTCCACACACTGGAGTAGGACAAAACCGTTCCTTGGCGAAGACAGCTTGTTGACCTGAAGTCAACAAGTGAAATACTGATGCCTTGAGCTATTAGTAGTATCGGATCTTCATGGGGTTCCACGACCCCAGACGTAGGCTGCTCGATTAAACACAACGCAATTGGCCGCAATAAATGCCACTTGGGCTCGCGCTGCCAACAAACCTGTGAAAACCAATACGTGTCCAGAAGAGAAATAAAAAAAAGAATTCATGCAACCCTTGACGGCGGCGGATGTGATCCGCGGAATCAAGACGAGTCCGTTGGTTGTTACACGGCCGAAAGAGGAAACCGCCGGACACGAATGCACCGCATCAAAGACAGCAAAGCGGATAGAGTGTGACTCAGGTGTCTCGGCGCCATTCCTCTCGACTGGTTGACTGGCTTTCAACTGGCGACCGAGTGGCCCTTGAGTGCTTGATAGATCCTGACTGGGCAGCCCTACGATGGTGGAGGAGACACCCGGCATCAGACCTTGCCTGGGGCAGATCAATTGTTCTCCTGGTTGGACGCAGGTTGGCGATTGCGACAATGCACAGAAAAGTGGAATAAGCCAGTCTGGCCTGACAATAGATGCAGCAAATGTCACAGGTGGTGCTCGGTGGCTCTCCAGACGCCACCACATGTAGGTATTATTAGCCGGGACTCGAGAACTCGAGAGCCAGGGAGAGTTGGCAATGCAATCAACAGGTCAAATGGCCAAAACGGACAGGGTTCGGGGCCAACGTTGTTATTGAAGCCATGTGGGTTGCTGCTGTGCTCCAAAGTCCTTGACAAAAGGTTGCGAGCACTTGAGTACTACTACCTTGACGAGGTATTGGTCACAGCGCTGTCCTATATCCAGAGCAAACGTCAAAGAACTTCGATGCTGGCAGCCATGTCGTGGCTGAACAGCTAATAAGCATCGAAGGATATCGATCCCCGTCTTTCAGCCGCCAGGGGGCGCAGTTCGAGAGTTCCTGCTGCAGCACTTCGTAGTTTCATCAATCGTGACGTGCTGGGATAGGATAGGACATTGAACGTGCTCCGTAACAATATTGCATGTACGTACAATATATCTGCTGAGGACCAGGATGGCCAGTTCAAGCATCGTTCAAGCATCCACAGAAAGGGATGTCCTGCCACGAGAAACACGGGTCCAACAGCCGAGTCCTAGCAACAGTCGGTCGTCAGGGACTTGTCAAAAAGCGCGAGACCTGCAGGCTGAGACCGAGAGACCTGAGGGACAGACAGTGTCACTATTGTATGTATGTATGTATGTCAATGTCCTCAAGCCGTAGACGTAGATGGGGACGCGCTGGTAGACCCAATGATTCCGACAATCAGCGAACCGGCATTCGGGGCAACCCACCCCCCTTCGCATGTTGCGTGTAAGGCATTGCGACAGGCTTACGGCGACGGAAGGGTCATGCCGGACACGGTGGAAAGCCAACGTGGAAGCAATTCGTCATCATCCCGACCAACAGTCCGCTTGTTGGAGTCGGTCGTCTTGCAAAGGTCCCAATTGCTCCCGTCCCGCCGTCCGACGCACCCAGGCATGCTAGCGGTTCTTTGGGAAGTGGAACTTGGGGAGGTGGTATGCAGACGCAATGCCCGTCGTCATTTGGGACAATTCGGTGTGGATGTTTTGGCCTTTGTTTTATCTTGTCTGGCTCTCTTGATGCGATGCGGAATTTGGCTGCCTTCTGGCGGGCAAGGGCAAATGACAAGGTCGTCTTGGTGCTCAAGCATGCGACTTGGGGATTGACAGAATGGTGGAACGGAACGGGGCCAAGGGGGCCCAGCTTGGCTCCAATGGTTCCGTGGCGGACTGTGGAAGGGTCACGTCTTGGGTGACCAGGTTCACTTGTCATAGCGCCGATACTTCGGTCGCTATCTGACGAGAGACGTCGAGGTCAGCCCATGCCCGGGCGGGTTGTGTGAGGATGCGGCTCTGCGCCAGCAAATTTGGCTCGAGTCGCCCACCCTCTCGGCTCTCTGTTTGTTCCGCCGCGTTACCCTGCAAAGTACCGCCCCATCTTCCGGCCTATCAATCGCGACGCTGCTGACAGGGATTACCCTCCTCCACACAGCCCACCTGGGCTACCCACCAGCCTGCGGAAGCCGCTAGTCCTGTTTAGGTCAGAACTCTAGGCAGCAGCGTCTCCGGGCTGAGGACGCCTGGCATTTGGCCAAATGCCCCAGTGCGTTTCTAAGCAAGCAAGCCGTTGGCTCCGTCGCGCCTCATCACCAAAACGCTCTCTCTCGTCCCAACGTCTGTCGTCCCTCGACTCTTCCAGCCGCTCATCCATCTTGTCTCTCTTTGTCTGGCGCCCACCATCATCCGGTGGCTATTATCGTGTGTTTTCGTCCTTTGGCGGGCCCTTTCCCGTCGTCTCCAACGACTACCACTACCCCCCTTGTGCCTCCGATCCGAACAACTCCCGCTTCCGCCTCTCGCACATATATGCGTTTTGCGCCCCAGTGCCTTCGCCCGAGCCACCAACCTTTTCAATCTATCTGCTTGTTCATAACAGTCATTCCCTCGAGCATCCCTCGAGCATCGGCTCTTCCATCATCGACGTGCGGTGTTTTCTCCGAGTCATAGACATATTCAGGGGTCCTCAATCCGCGCCAGCATATCGCGTGCTTCTATTCCACGTGCAATACCATCGTCCGGGCTATCACGCTTGTGTCCCATTACAAGGGCTGCCGAACAATTTTGACGGGTATATTGGGTAAGGACATTTGTTCTCTTCCACTTCAATATACCCTGCCCGTTTTGTGCCCTTCCTCTCTACATTGCTGGGACGGACACCAGGTCCTTGGTGGCTCCAATTCGAACCTCCCATCTTTTGGCACAAACGGCTGTGACTCACACCGACGCCATTACCTTTCTGCCATCCAGCTGTGCCTCTCTTCAGTTGCGGGACACACAAAAGCTAATCCGTCTGGTTGTCGGCACAGCCCTTCAAGGACACCCGTGCCAGTATCATCATTTTACCCCACGTCTATTCAGCCTTCATCATGTCCTTCGCCAACCCTCGTCGAAGGGCTCCTGTGAGTCGTTCTGATAGGGACAATGAGAGTGGCCTGGCCTTAAAAACAACTA